GGGAATGTCCCTTACACCCAAACAATTCCAAAAAAGAATTTTGATAAATGCAGGCTGTCGTCGATTGTACCTAGCCATTTGCAGGAAAGATCGCCTGCAAAGCATGTGTTGCGCTAATCAGAGGACCTATGATCTGCTGTAAGGACCTTAGCGCGGTTGCCAGGTCCACATTTTGCGTGTTCGCAGAAGATCCCACAGAGGGGTCAGCCAGGGTTGCATCCCTAGCTGCATCCGCGTAACTTACATTGCGCCTTTGCGCTATCACTTGCAGATTTTTCTTAGGGGCAAATCTGCAAGTTCGGCTATTCGCTGGATGCCCCCCTCCACAGTTCGCGCACTTTCGTTCCTCTTATTCTGTTTGAGGGCATAAGTGGGTCATGTGGTCAGAAGCACATTTTAGACATTTAGGTGGTGCAGTGCAGTAAGATTGCGCATGCCCATATTTTTGGCAGCGGTGACACTGCCCGATGAGTCTTGAGTTCTTTTGAACTTCGACTCGGATAGCCAAACCTAGCAGCTCGTGTTCGTTGAACAGCTGCTGAGATTTTTCTATCTTGGGCAGTATGACTACCACCAAAGGCATGGGCACGCCGCCACCGCGTTTCAGGCGAATTATGTGCAGGGGGGAATATCCCCTCTGTTGCAACTCTTCCTTGATCTCAATTTCCGAAAGTGTCGCATGTACTCCTCTGATTACAGCATGAATGTTCCTCTCCGAGGGTAGAGGGAAAGTGTGATGGGGCACCTCTTCCTCCCTGAAGAGACGAATAATCCTGCGGTAATCATCCTCGAACTTGGGAATTATCCTGATTCCTGCATCGACGGCAACCGCGCGTTCGAATTTGATGCCCAAAGAAATAAACTTGTGATGTACGCCTCGCCATCACGAAGCATCGCGAAGAACGATGGGGGTAACACGTACCTTGCGTGGGGGCTGTGCAGTCGTGTCGTCTGGTACCTGAGATGTCGAAGGCGTGTAAGTAACCGATAGATTAGGCTTGCAGTTGAATGAGACGTTTCAGACTGCGATTTTGGTGGAGGGAGAGGAGGAAAGCCTGTCGTGTCGGTCTTGTTTCGTCGCGTTTTACGGGGCTTAACCTTGGTAAAACCGTCAGGGAGTGTATCGTCGTCTGTGGAAAGATCGCTTGAATTATTTAACGGTCTCTTAAGATTGACAGCTTTGTCTTTACTGGGATTTTTGGGAAGTGTTTGGGAAGAATGTGTAATATTAAGGTTCCTGGGTTTTCAGTAGGAGGTCTAATGTAACTGTTAGGTCGGTAATTGTCCGCTGCTGGGCTTCGATGATCATCATCAATCTTTCAATGGTCTTCTTATCATCGTCCTTTTTTGACAGCCCCTGTCGAACCATCTCCAATTCGGCTCTCAACTCCTCTATGGTCTGCTCCTTCGACTCCATCTCCATTGCCATGGTGGAAGCGCCATTTCCTGACCCGCCTGGGTCAGTTTCCATAGTAAATACCTCGGTTATCTCGCTTTTCGTCTAAAAAATTTTCCTGATCGAAATTACGGGACAGCTGCTATCAGTGCCCTATACAGGGCGATTACCATACTGCCTGTCGCTAATCAAGCTGTGACGTTCGAGGTAGTCCAGAAGCTCGCGATTTATGCACCTCTCCGTCACCTTACCTATAATATAAAGCAGAGCTATTGGCCTGTAGTTGTATGGGTCGGTCTTAGATCCTTTTTCTGGGATGGGTTGGACATGAGCAAATTTCCAGTTTTCTGGGAAGGTGCCGGATTCATAAGATATCTGGAAGAGACGCGAAAGAACTGGAGCAAGCTCCGGTGCACACCTCTTCAGTACAATGGCAGGAATCAAGTCCGGACCAGAAGCTTTGTTGATGTCTTACGGTCTTATGCCTGAGTGTTACCTCCCGTATAGTGTGGGGAACCCTTTGAATTCACGGCACTTGGGCGTTGGTGGGGACGTCCGTGGTGGAGTTGGCAGCAAAGATCTTGGCTAGCACTTCCGCCTTGGCCTTTGAGTCGAATACAATAGTTCCATCCTGACACGTAAGTGGTGGAAGGGTACTGTGCGAGAAGTTCTTTTCAATCTGCTTGGCCAGCGTCCAGAAAGACCGACTGCCATTGCGCTGCGACATTACCCTGTGCCTAACTCTTATATCGTGCGGGTTTTTGGCATTGCGAACCGCTTCGTTATATTTGTTTCTGGACTCGACGTCGGCTTATCTGTTCTCTACAGTGGGTTTTTGTAAGAAGGTTCTGTGTGCCTTGATCTTCTGCTGGCAAGCAGTGTCATACAATTTGTTAAGCCAGCCGTTGGACCCTGGTTTAGTAACTTTCACTATGTGAGGGATGTATTCCTCCATCCCGACGTGGATAATTTCTGTTATTGAAGAACAGACAGCCGACGCATCCGCGTCAGTGAAGCAGACATCTCTCGAAGGAAAGCTAGAGAAGAAGTATCTGAGCCCTTTCCAGTCGGCATGTCCGTAATGCCAAGTTTTGCGACCTGTACGAGTGTCTGCTGCCACAGCGAGTTCTGACCGAAAACTAACCTCCACAACACCGTGGTCCGAGTTACCCAGGGGGGACAGGACCGCAGTGCTGCAAGGGACAGGATGCGTGGTCAGAAAGATATCCAGCAGGCTACTGGCGTGTGACGAGACGCGGATAAAAAAGTAGGGCTCGTCACCAGCTGTATCAGCCCTTGAGTAAGAGCGAACGCTTCCACTGCACGACCTGCTGCATCGGTCTTGTTTGAGCCCAACCAAAGCTCATTATGGGCATTGAAATCACCGAGAAGGACTACCTCTGAAGCGGGGTGATTGATGTTCAGGAAGTTGATCTGGACGGCGAGGTATTCGAGTAGGTCATCCCAGTTATGGTCCGAGGGAAAGCGATAAAGGCAGCAAATAAATTTGGGTGATGCTTTGGAGTTGAGGCGAAGCCACAGAATGTCCTTCCGGTCTGATTCCAAAGAAACATCTCTGGAGCAGGAAAGACTGCTGCGGAGAAAAGCCACAACTCCCCCGTTCTTTCTCAGATTGGAGGGCACCTCGTAGTTTGGGAAGTTGAGATGGTTAATCGGTGCAGACTCTGAAATTTTTGTCTCCGCCAAGAAAAGCACGACGGGACGATTGGATTGCAGGTAGTGATGAACAGCATCAATGTTGCTGTTAATCCCGCAGATGTTCGAAGAACAAATTTTATCTTCGATGTTGTTCCCTCGAGCTCACCCTTCACCCGGACATTCCGAGAGTGGAGTGAGTTTACGTCCGGAGTTCTTAGTACTCGAGGGATCCATCATCATTGAATTCTTTGTTTTGGAAGATAACCGACTGCATAGCTTAGGTGTGGAAACATGCGGACATTTATAAGACACCCAGGGAAAAGCTAGCGGCTCATGAGCAGTTCTGTTAAATTCATGATTTTGGAAGGTGATAAATACGAAAAATTGTCTTCATCAAACAGCGGCAATGGCAAAATACTTGAGATTGGAAATAGTGGGACACCCTGCTTGAATTCTGCTCAGTTTTTTGAATAGTTGTTATGATAGGAGCCGATTCTTGGCTAACAACAAATACCTAGCTGAGCATCATACTATGCTACCAGAAATTATTCAATAAAAAGATTTGGAACTAATTCAATTAATTTGATATTCATAGTTTATTTGGTGTCCACTGAGCTTCCTCACTATAATCTAGTGGTAATAAAATGAAAACGTTAAATTACTATATAATGTGAAAGTAAAGACCTTTCCTAAAAACTTTTAGATTCAAAATTAAACTGCATAAGACTCAGAGTTAGTTTCAGTTTGGACATTTTCAGTATCCATCACAAAATTTAAAGTGGACTGGGACAAATATGATTACCTCACAATTGTCTAGCTAAAAACCGAACGTTGAGGCATACCTATGCCTTTTCGCAAGGCCTATGTCTATAATATATTAACACTTATCGATCGATTGCTTAGCTTAAACGGCTTATTGCATTCCATAGAAGCGTTCACCATTTTCGAAATATGTCTGGAACACTAGGACTGTATGGAACCCACTCACTTTTGTATGTTTTCGCAGAAATATACGAATTTTATGTGAAATCTCAACAACTGTCAAGCTAACGGCTTAAGCCTGATCGACTTCTACAAGTAGGTAGCATGCGATTTCAACCTAACTACAGATTATGGTATTTTGGCGACAAACAAATCAGAGGCTCGCACCTTATACCTAGTCTGACTTCGTTGGTGTCAACCGCTACTATCGTTATACAACTAACGTAGTTGGTGGCATTTTTTTAGGACAGACATTACACTAAGGGTCAACACAAAAACCTCGTAGAATACTATTATACGTTTTTACAGCAATTTCCAAATATAAAATCAAGTAGTATATCGCCTACGAGAGGCTTTCATTATATTTCCACCTAAACTTTACTAGTGTAAGATAAGAGACGATGATAATGATAGAATGCTGAACGAAAACAACAAACCCACGTTAGAGAAGGTTTCGAAGCACCACCCTGTACCATTTTATTTTTATTACAAGGGCAGTACGTAAACAATTCGATATGGGCAACAATGTCAGAATAATATTAAAGCTACGTACTTGGTGACGGAACGAGTTATCCTCCTTTGACAAGCGATATGGGGCGATGTGATCGTATTGTGGCGAACACCTATTTTTAGAAACATGATTTGAGTACGTCCCATATTCAACCGACTTATACACAACTCTACTGCCTACATTAATTACATTATACACATTGGGTCTGATGAATAAAAATGGGCATTTGCTTGAAGTAAACAGTAAAAGCAAAAGCAAACCCTTCGAAGCAAAAGATGGAAGAAAAAGCATTTACTTCGTTTCTAATGAATAATGATTTGCTTCTGCTTCGTAGTAAATGCTCGGTGATTCAGACCATTTGCTATACTTTTGTCAAGTCTAGACAGGAATATTTGTATTTGGGTGAAATTTTTGTAGTAGTTATGAAGTGATTGTGGAAGAATAAGCAACGCAATGAGTTCCGACGAAGAAGGTGCGACCTGTGAAGAGAACGCTCAGGTGAAATTTGTAGAGTTACTAGAAAATTATAAAGTGGTGCTTCAAAAATCACAAGTACCCACGATGAAAAAAGTAAAAGAAGCTGCATTAATGAAGTTGGAAGCTGAGTGGCAGGCGTTGAGTGGAAAAGCGATAGGTGTAAGGCAGTTATCGAAAAAAAATAAATAACAGGAAAACAAAAAACAAAAAGAATACACATATAAATAAAACTGGCAATAAACAAATAAAGTTGAAGTCATGGGAACAGGCAATTTGGAGGTTAATGGATGGCGATAGAAACCCGAACTTGAGCAAAATTCCAAGTAGAAATCAAATATTTATTTTATTATAAACTATAAATTATGAAACTAAATTTCATTAGGTGCTGTGCAAGTTGTCGTGCCACCACCGATAGAGACTGCTGTTTCGGTAGAAGTTATCTCCTCGGAGTTTCACTCATCTGTTATGGTTGTAGAGACCGCAACCGGCTCGCTGTCAAAGAAAAAGAAAAAAGCTTGTCTTCCAGAGACATCGGAAACACAAAACCTATCAACGGCTGAATTACAGAGATTAGTTTTGTTAGAACAATTGCAAGTCATGAGGTTGAAGAAAAGAAAATTGATGAGAGAGTTAGCAGAGAATGAGTCTGAGAAGGAGTTAGTTACAGAACATGATAACGTGTATCCACAGTTATAAACTACCCCACCGTGCCTTGAGAGTGCGATATTTATGTTGAAATATTTGTTCTTCATTAGTAAATGTACACAAAATTTGTATTCCTTCTTTCAGATTATGCTTAAGTTTTGTATTTATGATATTTGTTATAGTTTTAATAAATTTTGTGTTCCAGGTCTTGGATTATAATTGGACGGCTCTTTGCAGAAAGGAACCAACCCACTATAAATAGGAAATCTAAATTTCATAAAAATAATGCATTATATCCTTTAAAGGTTTTAGTTATACTATATACACCTTTAAGATGCCATTGATTAAAATTGTTTTTAATTTATGATGAATTTTTTAATATTGTCAAAATTCGAAAGGCTAATTACTCAATAAGGTTTGTGTTGTGGGTTCGTTCCTTTCTGCAAAAAGCTGTCCAAGTATAACTTTCAAATTACCCTGTTGAAAAATGAGATGGTCAATTTCCTCCCGTTTGCGCATTCCAATTCTCCTAATGTTGTTAAAGTCGTCGTCCGCATTTTGTTCAACAGGGTTATACCTCACTATTAAGCTGCACCTCTTCCAATTCGAAGTCGGGATCGCCTAGTGTTTTTGCGATGTTGTGTAGAATAAAGCAACGTTCAATACAAGCTCTTCCATTCTTCAATAAATTATTGTATCGGATCTCTTGTGGTGTATTTGGAATTCGATAGGGAGTCATTAAACAGTGCTATATTCCATACCCTTCATCTGCCAGGAGCAAAGCTCGCTCTGTATTGCGACGCATAACGGCACAAATGTTAGACCTTTTCCAGATTCTACTATCATCGGTAGAACCGGGCCATTGTACATCTATACTTGTAAATTTGTCTTGTGCATCGCACGTTGCTTATACATTAATGCTCGCAAAACCTTTTCGGTTTATATATTCATCTCCAAATTGGGAAGGCTTTTGAATACGAACATGTGTGCAATCGACAACTCCAACTGCGGCTGGAAACATATTATAAACCTCATGTCAACGACGCTGGGCTTCACGTATTTCGTCATTGGAAGATGGAAACTTGATTCACAGATTTGCTTTCTGCCTATCTTTTTCCGTTACTTCAGCGATTGTTTTCGACACAGTACTTTGGTGAATTCCAATGATTTCCCTCACGCCGTTTTGGTAACGCGGATCAGCGATATACCGCAAAAACACTTTCATTTTCAGAAACGGTGATAATGCACCACCACGTGCACCAATGCACGTTTGCTTCATTGAAACGATAAATGCACTTAAAATCATTATTTGATGCTTCTACGCGTCTTTTGTAACGTTTTACGACTCTTATATTATTTAGAAACACCATAATTACCACAGACGTGTCTCTTTCCTGAAGGCAAAGTCTGAACTGGAGCTGGGTGGAGATACCTTCAGAAAAATGAAGTCTGTGCTATAGACCCCTAGCAAAAGCTTGATTTTATTCATGCAATCTTATGGTGCAGCAAATGCTTTTCCTTTGGATGTAAAGCATGTGCTCCAACTTTATTTATCATATACTTTGAAGGTTTTGCTTCATGAATTTGAAGTGAAAGCATTTGCTACGCTATATTCATGAGATTCATTTATTTGTGATTCATCATATACTTGCCCGCAAACCGTAGGAACTGGGACACATAGTCCCCTTCGACGCACAGTTCTTGTATTGCACACATCACTTCACGCACAGGATTTAAGAACACAGCAGCCTAAGCAGTCGAGGATCCAGGATATCACGTTTCCGTGTCAATACCCAAAGGCTTCGCTTTACCTCTGTCTGAGAGATAACCGAGCAACATGACAACTTTAAAGTAACAATCCTATACACATACTGCCATGAGATACATTCAGATTCCAGCGATTTCCAAGAGAAGACCTAGTATGTCACATCGGTCAACGTCCCAAGCGCTCCGATATTTCCCTTGATAGATGAAACGGAGGAGTAATTAACATAACTACCTGAACCCAGCAATCGGGCTCTGACTATCCCAAAACAACCGCCAGAGACAGGGGCGCCACACCTGTATGAGCCAATTAATTTCCTTATCCTTATGGGCAATTATAATATAAATATAAGATCAAAGCAACTTTATAAATACTCGTATGGCTAATATAACAGACAAAGAAAATGATAAAACTTGTAGGCTGATCACAATTAAATTGTGTAGTTTTTCGTAATTTTGTTCGTCTTCCAGCATTTAACTCAAATGACTGTCATTACAAGTAGTGAAACAGTAAACAAGGAATCTCCTTGAGAATTCTTAGAGATGCGTATCGCATATCAATGGAATTTTTGCCACATCTGATAAGTTAAATAAATACATGTTGGATAAGTATGTGGCTAAAAAATATGTAGGTAAAGTCAGTTTGTGATAAGTCGGTCGATTAGATAAAAATAATCAAATTACTATTTTCTAGGAGTGGAATATGGATCGTGAGATAGGATTATTACAATTATTTTGAATGATTGGATAAAATTCAATGTTTGGTTCAGGATATATTCAAAAGCAAAATGCTATTGGTTTAGTTAACATTTTTGCGGAATTTTACATGAAAACTTGACCTTGTGATTAATTTTGACTTGCAAATCAATTTCATTAGACAGCTCATATTAACAGTACCTACGAATTCACTCACTTCAATCACTCAGCTTTGAGGCAGAACAGAAGAGTTTCATCCAAAAATGGATATTGGACAAACTAGTAGATCCATCTAAGAAATAAGTACATTGCTTTTTAGGCTAACATAATTTTTGGACAGGTCAAGTTAGCAAGTTGAAATTCGAGGTAATGAAATTGATGCATACACACGAGTGCTGTTCGTAAAGCAGTTGAAAATTTCAAGGTGGTGGCTGACCGCAGTTTCAAGAATATAAAATCACTACCTTTCAAAATGGCGATCTGGCAGGTTTTCAGATTTGGGCGTTTTTGTAGATTGAGTTATAACTCGACAACCAACCGCTACAATCTTGTCTGGGAAGGAACACTGCGAATAGGTAATCAAATACGGAACATTCCATTAAAAAGTGTCAATACCTTTAAAATTATCAAACGCATTGTCCCATATTTTTGTTTACATTTAGATAGACCCTTCCAAAAGAAGAAAACTGATATAATATTATAGCGTTTTGATGTTTTGTTGTTGAAGTAGGTTTAACCGGTTCAATATATAAAAAACACCCCGTCGGTCTGATAAGAAGCTTTGGAATCGAGCATCACGTGATTCCCTATTCCATTTAAGGAAATGTTCCAAGATGGCGCTCTGCTGCTGTTTTAAAATTTCAACTGCCACTTTTACGTTAACATATATTATTTATGCATCCATTTCATCACCCCGAATTTAATTCACAAATTTGGCCCGAACAAAAAAAAAATAATTGGGAAGCGGACCTTTTTGAAAAGTACTGTACGTTATCTAGTATCTGTCATGTCGGTTAGAGTTTCGTTGATTATGCTGACAAAAGATTCCCGCCCATCTAAGATTCCAGTGTATGACTCTTACAAGCAATTTACAAAAAACAGCTAAAAATTAAATGCACCCTATCCTACACAATGAAATAATTTATTGTGTGCATTATTACTCTGAAAAACAGTTACTGAATCATTTTGTTCTGGGGTTAGACTCGTATGGAAGTGATAAAATTAGTAGATATAGGTACATACATTGCTTAAACTCATAACAAACAATATATAATATTTTGAAGGTTAATAACACTTCAGAACTCGCTGTGTTGATTGATAATGTATAATTAATTTATAATGAACGTAGATTACGCCCAGAATAATAAACGAGTCGATCGTATGTGTATAGTGTCAACATTTTACAAACCGATAATAGATTACATACTCTTCTACCTCAGCTTCTACCAAAGAGTATTACCAGAGACGGAAGCCTGCCAAAAATTGGACACGTTGGATTTGGTATGATTCCCGTCACTGTCACTGTGAGACATTTTGACAGTAATAAAAAAAATGGCGTCAACTGTGTTGACTGCACTTCCCACGCAATCCTGTCATCAATTCATGAAGGATTATGTTCGGTACAAGTTGCCGTGCTGAGGAAAAAGTTAGCTACGGATATGTACGTATAACATTAAAATTGAATAGACCAAGTCAGCCAAACGAGCCTTTGCAATGGAAGACACAAGTGGTTAAGGGTGTCATGTAACATTTTTTTAAATTATTTTTTTTGTGTTAAACTAATCTTAACGAGTGATTCTTTCATTCTGTGATTATTTTGTTGCAAAAACGAGACATTAACAAAAATTTTCTCCATAGATTGATTTTGTTACATGAATTCTCTATCCACTCGTGTTTTCAATTAGATTGTAGTCCGGACCCATTTGATAACTTTATAAATTACTTCCCTACTCTATCGAAAGGATCGACCAACTGGCAACGATGCTGAACCTAACCAGTCAACCATGTCATAAGCGCCAGTCACGATACTGTAAGCGTTATCGCTACGATACTTGTCGTTTTTGAACGGTACTTTTAAATACAGTATGATGTACGATACTACGATAATAGCAAAATGTTGATAATTTTTTGAACGAGCTTTCTTACTTCCAGATGTTCGTGTTATGAAAACAGGAAATATCCGGACTAATACTTATATGAACTTTTTTTATATTTTTGTGTTGAAGCTGCCTCTAAGCCTGACAACATTCTTTAACACTCTGTGTACGCGAAAAATCAATTCTATAACAAACGACCTTGTAAAATGAATGAGATACATCTAGAAAGGCAGCTGAACAATATATTTTCTTATTAAAATCCATAATAATTATATTTTGTGCCCTTGCCCAATAGTACCATTTTTCCCAGAAGCTGAATTAATGGTCTGCACGGGTATTGCGGATCTTGAAAAGTGACATTTTGTCTTTTTTTTTGACATTATATATATATATATATATATATAAAGACAGAGAGAGAGAAAATGATCATGCGGAGAAAGGTATATAACAAAAAGTAGGAAAATAATGGACAAAATCCGCAAAAAGGAGGAAAGTGGTTTCGAGCAGGATAGGTAGCCCGAGCGATACGTATTTCTGCTGGTTGGCTTCATCAGGCCCGAAATGAATGCACATATGAAACTACAAAAGTC